CTTCCCCTTGTAACTCTGACCCTAACCCCAATCTCCATCCTTGACCCCGCCCCTTATCCCAGAGTCCACCCCTCCCCCAGCCTCCAGCCCCCACATTCCCAAGGCCACTCACCTTAGGAGCCAAAAACTGAGACGATTTATTCACCACCCACTTGGGTAAAGAGCCTAGAGGGCAAGGAAGGGCAGTGAGGAGAGAAGGGAGGTTGTAGCCTCGGTGCCCTGCCCCACCAACTTCCCAGGCCCTCCCTCCACCTGGGACTTCCAGGGAAGCCCCCTCCTCCAGCCTGGAAGGTGGTGAATAAGGCAAGTCATCCTCACTCCCTGCTGCCTCAGACTACTTCTCAGGCTCATCCCCCTACCCCCCCAACCCCGGCTGCTGCCCCATCATTCTGCTGAGCCTCAAAGGGCTGCATGGAAGAAAACCACAGGGTCCTAGTGACCACAGGCCACATATGGCTTGAAATTCTGACTGCCAGCCAGGCTCTGCCACCTCCTTCCGCTCCCAGATATGCCTTGTCATACCCAGCCCCTGTGCAGTGACGTGAACGTCCCTCCAGGGCTGTCCTCCAAGCCACTTTCCTGACTACACAGGCCTCTTGACCGAGCCCCAAGCCTGGCCTGACCGGAACCCATGCCCAGCCCTCCATCCTGCCTCGTTCCCAAGTGTCTGCTCGGCCTGACACCAGTCCACTCACTAGGGGAGGCCAGGGAGCCCTGGGCCTGGACCACTGTGCCCTCAGGGGCTGGGGGCACACCTAGGTGAAAGTGCTCTAGGCCCCGCCATCTGCAACTCATTCAGTCCCTCACTCACTCCACATTCACTCTGTCACCCCCACCTGGCCCCTGGGTGCCCAGGGACAAGGATGCTGCTAGCAGGGAATGGCCCACAGAGCAGGGAGCCCGTGTACCTGCACCCAGGGTGGCATCTAAAGCAGCCCTGGAGGGTCAGTGAGGGAGGAGAGGCATGTCCAGGTGGAGGGCAAGGCTGCCTGGCAGGGTGGTGCGGAAGCAGACGGTGTGGGGAAGGACTGGGGAACCTGGGAGCACTCGATTGCACTCAGGGCAGTGAAAGTCAGAGGATTTTAAGCAGATGAGAAATAAGTGTTGAGGAACATTCCTCTGGTACCTGGTATAGACAGACAAGGTGGCTGAGCATGGAGAGAAGTGATAGGAGCTTCGTATTAAGGAAGTAGAATCAATAAGAATCAAGGACTGAATTGGGAGTTGAGGAAGAGGCAGTCCCAGGTGACCCATAGGTTCTTAGCATGGATGGCTGGAAGGTGGAGACGATAAGAATCAAGGACTGAATTGGGAGCTGAGGAAGAGGCAGTCCCAGGTGACCCACAAGTTCTTAGCATGGATGGCTGGAAGGTGGAGACAGGAGAGGGGTAAGGTCAGGAGAGGAGGCGTGAGTTCACAACATACATGTGAGTCGCGGGTGCCAAAAGACACCCTGAGAAAGATGTCCAGGAGGCCAGCAGCCCCAGGACTCTGGACCTCAGCAAAGTATGGTCAACTGTCATGAAGTCATGGGAGTGGCAGAGCCCTCCAGAAGGGGAGAGGCCTGAGGCTGGAAAACCCAGGCCCCCAGGGTGGACAGAGTGAGCCAGCAAGACAGATGGGGAGCAGCGAGGGAGCAGGACGCAAGCCAGAGCATGGGCAGCTGGGGGCACAGGGCACATCCAAACCTGGGCAGGGCACTCCCAGCTTTGTCAGTAGAGTGGCAGGGGCTACCCTGGCTCTTCCTTCAAGCCCCTGATCTGACGGCTTCAAACCTTGGTTCAATGGATGGCAATACCCCCAAATACAAAACAGCTCCTGCAGACAACCTCCTGGATCCCTAGCCGATCAGGTCCCATCCCCTGAGGTTCAGGGAAGATCCCAACGGAGGCTGCCAGGCCCAAGCCCTCACCTTTGGGGTCCACCTGAGCCAGGTAGGTGATGACGCAGCTCTTGGGCCCTGTGCTCTGGATGAGGTAGCCCGTCTGGATGGACACAGCTCGGACCAAGTCTTTCCGAGGTGGGTATTTCTGGAGATGGAAGGCACAGGAAGGTAAGACTCCAGGTGGGAGCTAAGGAGATGTCGCTGCTCTCTATCTCTCTCTCTCTCTCTCTCTCTCTCTCCATCCCCTGGCATCTCTTCCTGGCTAGGCTTGATGCTGGGATGAGGCAAAAAGGAAGAATCAGACTAGGGCAAGCTGGCCTCTCTCAAGGTTTCCCCTGTTCCCCTCCGGAAAGCACCCAGTGTGGGTCATAGGCTCGCACAAACACACACTCGCCTCTGCCCAGGCCAGCCCTACCTGCCTGTCCTTCCTGCCCAGGGAGATGAAGGTGGCCCAGCCTCAGGAGAGCCAGGGGACCCTGCCTCTTACCTTCGCTCCCCTTTCCGTGCTGGCCCTGTCCTGGGCCCGTCCCGCCCACTCATCACAGAGGTAGCCCAAACTGCCCCCTCCTGACTGCTGGAGCGCCCCCCCAGGGACACAGAGGGCTTTTCCTCACAATATAGGAAGCACACTGAGGGGCGGAGGACTCCGTGCCTGCCTGAAGTCACAGGGAAGTCACAGTGGCAGCAACAGCCCAGCACTGCCCCCCAACAGGAAACGTAGGTGAACTCACGGGATGTTTGACTGAGTAGTTCATAATGATGTAATCAGCGCCCATGGGGAGCCAGGAGCGGAGGGTGATGACATCGCGGTTCTTCAGGGGCTTGGGACACCTCCCTGTGGAGGGCAAGGGACAGTTCAGCTAGATCACCGGTCCACCTGCCTGCAAGGGAGGGTGTGCAGAGGCCAGAGATACAGGGAGGCCTCGTTAACTGCCAGGCCCCACAATCCAAACAGGTGTTCCCCCAACCACAGTCCCAGAACCCTGTCCCTCATGTCTCCAGCCACCCCTGGTCCTCACAAGCTCATATGGCCACCACCTTGCTGGTCTGGTCTGTTTGTACATGAGAATGTATGTATTATCATAAGTGCGTGTCCATGAAAAGGTGTCTGTGAGGACGTGGCATGAGGCTGTGGGTTGTGTACACAACTGTGCGTATGTGAACGTGTGTGGTGAGTGTGCGTGTGTGTGCGTGGTGGACAGGGTTTTCAGGGTGGGCAGTCCTGCATCTCAGTACTCAGGGCTCTGAGCAGCCTGGACTTGGGAGTGACCACAGGAGGGGAGAGGGAGGAGGCTGGAGGGAGGCTGAGGCGGCAGGTCAACGTGCTGCTTCTGCTCACAAGAGTAATAGCCCACGTCAGCATTGACTGTCAGCCGGGCGATATCGAAAGTCTCAATGACGTTGCTGTCCCACTTCTTCCGA